GAGCAATTAACTCCAGCTAAGTGGAGCAGGTCAAAAGCATAGAGAGTCTGCAATTAGAAAGGCTCATTGGATACCTGGCTGTGAAACCTCAGAGGTTATTTCCAAATGTGTATCCATGGGTAGCTCCAGATGAGTGGTGGTCCTCTGGGATGAGTGGAATGGCAGGGACAGACTTCACACATCCTCATACACATGATAACATGGATTTCTCAGTAGTTCTGATTAATCTGCTCGTGTCACACCAATATCCTGACTTACAGAGCAGACATTAAATATGATATAACATGGTATCTCGTCATGCAGCTGGATGATGGCGTTACCTACAGTGTAAATGATCCAATTTTGGAGAGAGAGAGAGAGAGAGAGAGAGAGAGAGAGAGAGAGAGAGAGAGAGAGAGAGAGAGCACCATACCATGCATGTGGATGCCAGAGTGCAACTTGATGAAGCTGATTATTTCCACCATATGGGTTTTCCCAGTATTGAACTGGAGTCATGAGGCTTAACATCTTTCCCACTTCCCTACTGGGTCATCTCACTGGTTCCAATTTCTGTTGGTTTTTTGTTTGTTTGTTTGTTTGTTTGTTTGTTTTTCGAGACAGAGTTTTTCTGTATAATAACTCTGGCTGTCCTGGAACTCATTTTGTAGACCAGGCAGGCCTGGAACTCACAGAGATCTGCCTGCCTCTGCTTCTTGAGTGCTGGGATTAAAGGTGTGCATCACCAACACCTGGCTCCAATTTCTGTTTTAACTTCAGTTATGATGAAAACTAAAAGCAGAGATAAGCTCTGGATATCATCATTTGCCAAGGAGAACCTATAAGAAACAGCAGGAATTCTGTACCAGTGACTCACACAGGAATGGGAAAGTCAGATTAGCTCTATCAGGAAAGCCAGGCAGGCCATCAGGGCAGAGAACCAGACAAAAGGATCAGAAAAAGGGATCTGTAACCTAGGGATCAAGAATCAGGCATTCATGTTACTGAAGTTCCTCTGTTCTCAGTGGCTATCTGCCTTCCCTTGCCCTGGAGCATAGGTTGGAGAAAAGTCTGCAGACTGGAGCCAGAGAACAGTTATCATAAGAAAGGAGTAAGGGGACAGGGAGGATTGAGGCCGGATGTTCTCTATCCCTGCGATAGAGAGTCTTGTAGCCTCTTGCTACATGCTCCTGTATTAGCTCACCTGGCAGCCTGTTTGAGTGGTGTTTGTTTTTCTTATTTTGCTTTTATTACATCTTACTGAGTAGGAGAAGATTTTCCAAGATTGCCAGGCAGTCCAAGAACTTAGTTGTAAAGAGTTAGGAAGCAAGGGTGTGGAATGGGAGGACAGATGAAGAAAAGCCACCTGGCCTGCCAGAGGCATTTGTCATCTTGTTTGACACCCATCACAGAGCCTAAGGGAAACCTCTGTAAACAGTCTGACATTTCTATATTTTGAAGCAGCTGGAACCTGCCTTACCTGTAAGATCGCCTCATCTTGCTAATGATCATAATTGCTGGGTTCTTTGCCAGCCATGACCTAGCCTTGTTAATGGTGCTAAAAACAGGCCTGGAGCCAGGCAGTCTGCAGTGCTTAAGGAGCCCTCACAGGCACAGAGTGCACCAGGCAACTGCAAGGATGGCAGACAAGCCAGAGGTTTAGAGGTGTTTTCCTATAATGAGAGCCGATCTGTTGTTTGTATGGTTAAGATATCTTTATTCAGATAAACACCAGCCAAACGCAAGCCAGAGTGTGCCAGGGCAGCAAGGCAGCCAGGCCAGAGAGAAGGGCACCCATGTGCTTTGCCACCCCCTTAAGAACCCATCACGAGTCATCCTGACCTCACCTTGACCACACCCTGACAGGCGGGGTCAGGCACACCTGTAGCCAGCCTCTAATAGGCATGCCTTACTGTCCCCTACATCTTCCTTTCAGTGCTTTCTAGTGTGGGTTAGACGGAAACACTGCACATACTGAAGAAGTCTACTTTGAGGGACTACTTGGTATACATTATTGTTTAGCAGTGCTCCCAGGAAAAAAAAAGGGGGGGAGGGCTCACATCCTTACAATGTTACTGGAAAAAAAAGCTTGCAAAATACTGGAAAAACAAAACAAAATCATGCTGACCGAGAATGTAGCTTAGTTGGTAGGAAACTTCTAGCATGCTCAAAGCCTCAGGTCTGATCCCCAGGACCTCTCATAAAATAGGTGGTGCATTCCTGTAATTCTAGAACTCAGGAAGTGGAAGTGATGGGAGGATCAGTTCAAGGTCATTCTCAGCTACACAGCAAGTTTGAGGCCAGCCTGGGCTACACAAGACCGAGTCTCAAAAAACTCCCATAAGAAGATGCGTCATTTCCAGGACATGGATCTTTGTACAAGAGTGGCAGGGGTGACACAGCTAAGTGCTCTCTTGATAGATGCAAAACCAGATGGGCGAATGCTAATTTACAATGAATTTACAAAGGAATAAAAACATTTAAATGATCAAAACTGCTCTTGCACCGGTTATGTCATCCTTTGGGAAGCAGGAAGATCAGGAGTTCAAGGGCATTCTCAGTTACATAGCTAGTTCAAGGCTAGACTGGGCTCTAGAAGATGTTTCAAGAGACTAAAAAACAGACCAAAAAATGCTCTTGAGAGTAGATGTGGACAACTGGACAACGCCCAACTTCACATTTTCAAAGACCACTAGTCCTGAAAATGACAAGGAAGCCCAGTTACCACCATGCTGTGGGTGAAACTCAACCCTAGTAACACCCCACCAGAGGGTAGGTTGGTTGCCATAGAGACCCCATGGATAGTCCTGGCTCTAGATTTGGCCTGGTGTTGTATATTTGGAGGTCCCTCAGGCAAACAGCAATTGAACAAGGAGCTCATCTGCTGTTACCAGTGGAGGAATGAATGGGATGAAAAGAGAAGGAAGTAAAAAGGCTGTGGATAAGAGAGATAGGGGCAGGAAGAGGAACTGGAAAAAGCCAGAAACCTGCACTCTCAACAATCAGGGCAGTGAAGAACTGGGAAGAAGACAGTGGTCTGTTTGGGGTAGCCATCCTGTCCTCAGTGATGTGGAGATGTAAGGAGAGAGTGGCAATCAGTGCTGTGGGACAGACCTCCATAGCTCCTGTCCTGTGCCTGGTGACTCACTGCTGCTGTGTCTCATCTCTGTCCCAAGGCAGGCTGGAGTGGAGCAGGAAAGTTGGAACAACCTGCTGCACACAGACTGTCAGCATTCAGATAACTGATTCACTTCCCGGGTAATGCTGCTGTTTCTGTCCTGTACAAACAGGCAGCTGGCTTCTCAGAACTCTGCCCCTGCTTCCCTTGCCCTTTCCCCCAGCTCTGAGTCACCTCAAGTTTGGACTAATACCCTGAGGGTGTGGGCTCACAAGAAAATCCTTGAAATACCTGGCATCAACATTCCTGTAATAATAATTCACGGTGGAAGGAGAGAACTAACTCCCACAGTTTAAATACTCGCTCACCTCTGTGTGTGCACTGTGGTGGTGTTCATATGCTTGCACTTGTGGGCACACAAACACACTCACAATGAGCAATATTTTCTTTTGGGTTTCTTACAATTGTTCTCAGTGTACAAAATACTAGAAATATATTTATAAATCTTACTATAAAATGCATATTTATTGGAAATACATCTCTGTGAGATAGGTGGAACATAAATAGTTAATAATATCCCATCTATTTATATATGTCCTTTTTTTATTTTTTTAGGTTTTTAGAGACAGGATTTCTGTCCTGGAACTAGCTCTTGTAGACCAGGCTTGTCTCAAACTCACAGAGATCTGCCTGCCTCTGCCTCCTGAGTGCTGGGATTATATGTCCATGGGTGAAGTTTTCTTGTTAGGGTTCAGCATCAATTATCATTTTATGTTTTTTATAATAAGTAATGAGAAAAAATTAAAACTAAGGAAACAGAATGGAAGTTTTGTTATATAAATGTCATTCAATTGATGATGTGCCCAAAACAAAACCCTGAAAATCTCATAAGTGACAGAGTTGCTTTTGATGATTATCATGTGAATATTTGACTGGTTCCTAGAGATGCTCTCAGTGTCTGCTCTAACACTGAGCTGTCCTTAGTCACCCAGAGAGTCAAGAGAAGACTTGAGAGATTCAGTGAGATTCAGTGATGTGGAATAAGGCATGGGAAAGAAAGCTACCCAGTGAACATTTCTCATACTGCTCCTCCACAGCCAAGTCTCATTTAGAAAAGACAACACACGTTAGTTATGTGGGACCTTCTAGAGCTCAGTGGGGGTCTCTTTGGAAAGTCTCAGTACCTTTATAAGCATAGATTACATCTGCACATGGCTTTTATTCCAACCTCCTTTGACCTTCTTCAAGGTATTACAGGGTCCACTTCTAAAAGCTTGGAGACAAAATCTGGGATTTGAATGGGACTGTCCAGTGTCATTTACTCTTCCATCTACTGCTTCCCACCTCCAGGGACTGAGTTCATACTCTTCCAAAACTTCCAGGGCCATAAATACATTCATGATTCCCTATCCCCAGCCAAAATCTCTCCCATGCTCCTGCCCCAGTTCACTGCCTCCCTGGAATATATCTCAAACTCTGCAGAATCCTCTCCTCTCTATGTGGCATCTATCACGCCATTCTTGGGTTTCTAACCTAAGCCACTGTGTCTTTCACCTACTTGCTTCTGAGTTTCACCATTCTTGTGCCACTTGTTACTGTGGGGGATTCTTTTCTCCTTCATTTCCCCATTCTCCCTCCCTCTTTTCATTCCTCCTAGCTCTCATCCCCTCTCCCTATCTGTCTCCCTTTCCTTTTCCTCCTTTTATTTTTCTACCTTATTTCCCATAGGAAAGGACGTCATTTATTGAAACAAAAAACCAAAAACGGAAGCAAATGAGTTTGGAAATATGCCGCAGGTGAACCAATGGAGGTTATTGGTCCATCCTTTTCTAAAGTGTGGTGCCTTGCCTCAAGTCCCGCTGTCCACAGGCTGAGGTCCTCTGTGTGTGGCTGGATGATGCTTAGTGACCTGCCCCTGTATGTCTTCTTCTCCTCCCTCTTCCGGTGCTTGTTGATTACACCGAGCTCAAGTTGAAACAGGACAGTTTTTCCTAGCTTCTGTTTGCTTCCCTCCCTCATCCGTATGCCTGGATCATTTATCTGTGCCTGCTTCCAGCCTGGAGAACTCCTACACACACTGAAGCGTCAGCTCCCTGTAATCTCATCCGGGAGGCTTTCCAATTCTCCTGGTGTTCCTGGCTATCAGCTAACTTGGCACGCGCGGGATAGGATTTTCATACATTTTCCTGTCTCCCTCACGAGATGAGTAATTCAAGGGCTGTGTCTTCTCTCCCCAAACTCCAGTGAAACAGTTCTTCATAACGCTTAGGACATTTGTGGTAGACACAGCTCTCTGACATGCAGGTGTTTTCTTGTTTCAGCTAATCATTCCGTATTAGGGCCTGCAGCACTTCCGGTTTTGGTATTCAGGAATTCATACTGAAATGTTCCAGGGACTCTGATCTACAAAGGCTCCGTTCCTCGAATGCAGTGCCATTTGAGAACACGAGGTGGCACCCGTGGAGGGCTGTTAGATTGGCCCTAGACCAACACCCGCCCCCTCATTAGCCTACATGTAAGTAGTTGGAGATGACAAGAACTGCAATTTATCCTGACACCTTCCCTTCCCTCTCCCTAAACTCACTTTCAGTCCTCTTCCTGGGCCACAGGAAAGCTGAGCTATCCAAGTCTAAGGGGGTATTTTTGTTTAAAAGCTAAAACTCTGTGTTGTAAAATGCTGTTCTCTAAGCATGGCACGGATGACTATTGCAGTCTTGATGTCAGAACATCTGTGATTACCTACACCAGAATCTCAGCTTTATTTTAGGTTGTTCCCATAACCTTAAAGTTTATTGTTACATTCATTGTTCTCTGCATTTTCTCAATTAAGTAAGTACATGGTTGTGCAGAGTTTAGACTATTACTTCCAGCTTGATTTTATAAATTTGCTGCCAGACTTGGGACAGCAGTGGCCCCAATAGACACCAAACACTAGATCCACTAATCTTCCTTCATGGAGGACAAGGAGGGCTTAAAAGACCCTGCCTCTCCCTGAGGATGCATAAACCAGTAGAGGCATGGGTGGATTGTTAGTGTTCCTATAGATAATCCCTCACCCTTTAAATACCCCCCCCTTAAGCTCAGTGGCTCCTCAAACTAGGCTGGAATGGGATAATTTCTTTGGTCTGTTGTTGGCACCCTGTTTGGAATGAATAGGTATTTGTTCATGGCTTCCCTCAAAAAGTGAATGCTACTTAATAAAACAAAATAAATATATTCTTCCCAAAAATGGGGAAGAAACCAAACCAAACCAAAAAAAAAAAAAAAAAAAAAAAAAAAAAAAACAAAAAAAAAAAAAAAAAAAAAAAAAAAAACAAAAACAGCCCCCACCTGGTGTGGTGGTATATGCCTTTCTAGTTCCAGCACTCAGAAGGCAGGTAGATCTCTGAGTTCAAGGCCAGCCTGCTCTACAAAGAATTCCAGGAAAACCAGGGCTGCAACCCACTCCACCTTCCTCCCCCCTCTCCCTGCAAAAATAAATAAAATAAATAAATAAAATAAAGAGAAATGAAAGAGTTAACACATCACCCTGATAGAACCCGTAGTGACTCTGTCTACTTATTTTTCTCAGTGTTGTGCCAAAATACTTGTGAAAAATCAGCTTGAGGAAGGAAAGGTTTGTTTTGCTCACAGAGATCTTCATCAAGACAGGGAAGTCATGTCTTCAGGAGCAAGAGGTCACACAGGAGGCACAGTCAGAAATCAGAGGTAATTGCTGGTGCTTACCAGCAGATCTGCTCAGGAAATCTTCAGTGTGGATTGTGCCCAAGGAGCTGCATGTCATGTATGAAGAGTGCTTTGCACACTTGGAGTCACTACATTGGGCCCCTCCACTTCTGCATAATTCCCCTAACAGAATGGGAGAATCTGGGCCTAGGGATGTAGAGTAGCCAGCCCATAGAGTGCTTGCCTGCTGGCGAGAAGCCCTGGGTTTGATACCTAGTACTGTGTAAACCGATACAGCAGTGCATGTCTGTAATCTCATCACTCAGGAGGTAGAGACAGGAGGATCAGAAGTTTGTTTGAGGTCAGTTTCAGCTATATAGGCAGTTGAAGGACAGCTTGGGTTACACTAGGCCCTATTTGAAAATTAAGGGGGAGAGGAGGGTGTTACGATAAATCTTTCTGCCAAAAGCCACCTGAGCCCCACTGCCACGTGTGTGCTTTATGCCAGCCACCCGCCCGAGTTAGGCCCAAATGAATACACAGAAACTTGTATTAGGTTCAAAGCTGCTTGGCCAATGACTAGGATTCCTCATCTGTTAGCTCAGTCTTAATTATCATAAATCTATATATTTTATAAGACTTATCTTATCAGACGCCTTATTGGCGTCCCTCCTTGTCGATGGCTCACATTGTGCCGCTGGAGCAGGAGCAGAGGGGAAAAGAGGGCCCTTCCTGTTTCTCCTTCGCTTAAATATGAGTCTCCTTGCTATGTCACTTCCTGCCTGGATCATCCTCGACTCCTAGTCCTGCCTAACTTGCTGCCTCATTGGCCAAACAGTGCTTTATCATCCAGTAAGACAAACACACAGAACCATTTCCCCCACCATCTCCTCTTTTCTGTCTAAATAAAAGAAGGCTAACTCATCTTTTATAATAATTGAAGAAAACTATGACCATAACTGTCTGTCTTCAACTCTATCAAAGACCACAGAAGGATAATATATAAACTCTAGAATTGACAGAGACTTCTGCTACCTGGACAGTCACCCAAAGTTCCTCTGCAACATTGGGGCATCCATCTTCAGACCATAGGCCACAGTGTGTCTGTCACATTTCTCCATTTTAACAGGAACCCTTCAGTATTGTCTTGTTTTGTAAGTTCAGCAGTCATTTTCTTGTGGGTCCTGTATGCCTAGTTTATACAGCAACAAACAGTCCAGGCAAGAGCAGTTTCTTGCCCAAATGGCTAATCTTGCCATGTTGAAAGCAAACTCCATAACAAGTTTCTTCAATGCCCATCCTCCTTTCTGACGTAATTGGTGTGCCAGGAGCAGTTGTGTCTCACTGCCAAGAAAAACCCTAAACCATTTAAATGCCAATTTCTGTAGGTCTTTGAAAGGTTTGAAGAATAGGTATTCTTCATTGAGATGGTTAGGTACCATCTCAAATACATCTCTGTAAATCTAGAAAACCTAACTAACCTAATTATAAGTTCTGACTATTATAGGTAAAAGATCTGTATAAACACAATACCTAAACAAGAGGAGACATA